GCAGTGTCCAAGCCAGGCTCTGGCAAAACAGGGAGATTACCCAAGACTCTCTATCAGGCAAGAGTCTGATGAGTAATGGATTTTGGAGATGGACAGACAGGGAAAAAAATGAGTGGGATTTTGTTTATATTGAGTCAAAACAGAAAACTTTTTATTTTGACTACTGAATAAGCCATTACACTGCATTTTGATAATTTCTAGTTTTTATTTTGATTTCATTACTTTTTGATTCAGTGTTGGTTTTCATTCTGATTCATCTGACACTTTAGTAACACTTCTACATTATAAAATAGTAGGTTAATTTTTAATTGGAAAAAAAAAAAAAGAAGTTGAAAGTTCTGATGTTTCCAAAATCTAAGAAAATAAACCCAAACATGTTGCTTTTCAGAAGTAAAGCATTTCAAATTGAGTTAAAGAAAAATACTACTTCATGGTGGGTTTTTTTATTCAGGAAAAGCTATTTGCTTATGACAAATCTTATTTCTTTCATTTTGTGATGATTATTAAAACAGTAACGCAAGTATGCTTTGGTAAGTGATATACTACACCTTGCTTTTTCCATGCTACAGAACTGCGAGAGCAGAGACATGGATACTTTTGGCTCTTCACAGACTGGTTGTCTCAAGGGCACTAAGAAAACCTTTTAAGCAAAACAGTCAAGAGGATACTTTCAGTCCCAGAAGTCTACGTTCTACCATCAGAGAATTTACTAGGTAACTTGGGCACTTTTATGATGTGTCTGCTAATCTAACAGCTAGCTGTTTCCAGAAAGATCTGCGCTGCCAGCCTCTGCTTTCCACAGGTCAAGTCTATAGTCGCACCATCATTCCCCGTGCCAGCATCAACACTTGGCCAAGCCCATAGTAAGGAGGTCTGGAAACAGGAAAAAAAAAAAAAAAAAAATTAAAATAATTCTACCATAAAAAAAGAGTAGCTTTCTGCCAGGTTAGTCCCCAAAATCTGCTTTTTATGGACCCTGCCAGGTACAATGCCAGTGAGGAAAACCTAACCCTGAGCAGGGCCATCCTGAGCAGCTGTACCCCAAGAGGCAGCGACACCATGGAGAGAGGGGACAGTTTCAGACTTGGTTTTGTGCCTCTCCTTTTCTTTTTGTGGTGCTGCATCTCCCATCTTCCTGTTGCTTTCTTATGTAATTTGAATTGTTTGGGTGCTTGACCCTGTGACATCTTTGTATCTCTATAGTGTTTTCTAAAGCATAAGTAGATCCTCGAAAGCATTAAAAAACTGTGGAGTACTCATGCAAAGATACAGCTCATCAGTTCAGATTGTTGACTTTTGGGGAAGGCTGAATATTTCTTCTTTATTTTTAGAACGCTACAAATAAAGGCGTTTAACCGTCTTTCAAGTGAAAAGCATAATTTTTCTATCACTCCTGTTACACTGGTCATTTCCAGATCTTGAGTATTTACATATCCCCACATTTCTACCTGTTGTGAATAAATTTTGGGGTTTTCCATGCATAACACTGCCAAAAAATGCAAACACTCTTTGAGCTCTGACACTAGAAATTTTTGCTTTCACTAGCGGCAAGATGAAAACTAATGCTCCCCTCCGCCTTAGCTTGGAATACTGATTTGCAGAATTTCTCACTGGAAGACATGGTAGGTATTTTTGAATCTTTCTTCCTCTTTAATGTGAAGAATAATCTCTGAGAAAGTTTGAAAGATCAGGCCCACGGTCATTGTTTAGTCAAACTGCATAATTCTTAGGCCTTTTAATCTTTTCTCATAAATCAATCCTCCAATCCCCTTAGTCGTATTTGTTGCTCTTCTCTGAATTCCTTCCAGTTTTGCAATTTACATTATAATTAGGGCTTAGTGAAACTGATGAGAAAGTGATTTTTGGGACTGACTTTTATGCTGTTTGTAAATATTCAAATCTTGTTTTCCACAGGATCATGAGGGCCCCTGACATATGTGACAATGGCAGGGGCCTACGTCACTCCCATTCCTGGGGCAAGGGCATGTTTTCTCAGATTCTCCCACTGTGTCTTGCCACTAATTAGTATTCATTATCCCACTGATATCCCTGGAACTATAACTGCCTACGGCACAATTCATAGTGAATAAGGACAGGAGGATCTGCCCCAGCCTGCACCTAGTATCACTAAATCACTACCTGATTTTACTCAAGGTGAGCAGTGCTAGGCAGCAAGTAGGGCGATGGGTTGTAACTGGACTGTTTGGGGAACATAAGGCAGAAGGCAGAGATGTTCACTGAAAAAATGGTTGTGGTGATGGAAGACATTGCTGGGGAGAACACCCTTCCTCTGGTGTTTTTGGTGGCAATTGCATGCTCTGCAGGCAGTTGGGACAAATGTTGAAGCTAGAGCCTGGACCCTGCAATTGCTGCCCTGCACCTCCCTTTGCTCTCAGAACTGCTGGGGTGCTGCTCACTCACGGTCCCTGTAACCACTGTCAGGAAGAATGCTTTTGCAAATCCAGTGGGACTGAAGGTGGTCTGAAGATGGGAAACCTGAAGAAGATGTACAATGGGCAGAAGAGCGGCCACTGTCACTGCAATCACCTTCCCTGCCTCTGCTGGATTGCTGCGGGAACATCTGCCATGGGCAGACCTCTCGGCCACACTGCACATGGAGCAGATGAGAGAGCACACATGATACTTCATGCTGGGAGAAGAATGTGGTCATCATAAACTTTCTCAGCCAGCACAGCTGACTGGGGTGTATGTTATCCATATGTAAAGGGGTGACTCGGGGTAAAGACATCTGTGAGCCTTTGTAGAAGAAGCCTGTGTAGAGACTCCGTGCTGTATCTCTCAGATCAGCTGCCATCTATGCCTCTCAAGGACCCAGAACTGGTTTCTAATTCCATTTTTCTACCTGAAGTTTTCCTTCTCTTATGTGATGTCTGCAAAAATTGGATATCTGCCCCACTGGCAACAAATAGAAGGCTCCTGTGAGAGTCTTAGCTCAAATGCAAGCTACAGAACAACAATAAGAAAATAAATAACTGAATTCCTGCCTGCCTTTTCTATGCCCATAGACGTAATAGCCATGTTGTCATTTTGGTTCTGCTTCCTCTGAGTGCACATATGAGAAGCTACCAATGTATGTTTCTAGTCTCAGTCACACAAGTCAAAGAAAATTAATATTTTCATGTGTCCTCTGCTCACTTGAAATGTTTAAAGATTCTTGTAGGGAAATATTTCATATTGCTGTTATAGTATTGCTTTACAATAATGTTTTGTTATATTATAGTACCCTTTTCCTTACAGCATGGATGCTAGAACCAAAAGCAGAATGAATGCTTCCATGTAAACAGAAAGTAAGAGACAGTGCACTCTCCAATAAACCAGCAGTATCAGTGAGGGAAAGCAGCACCATTATTCTCCAAACATGAACACAGGGAGGTGCAACTCATCCCACTGCTGTTGCGCAGGAAGCAGGCACAGGGAGATTCTGCAACTGAATCATTCCCAGCTGCTTGACTAGAACTCAAGCAAGCCGTTTCAAAAATACTTTCTCATGCATCATGTGCAGCCCAGTCCTCTCAACCTTCTTGAGCAAAAGAATAGTCAAATTCACTAACTGATGCCTCAAGTAAGGACTGGGTGGCTGTTTCTGTGCCATGCTGTCAAGCGGAGACCAACAAGTATATTTGCTGTCCAAATGTATCACCATGGCAACTAAAAATTATAGTCAGGAACACTGTTCCTTGTTTTTATCATGGCCTTCAGGTTCTACTTAGTGCTAACACAGTCAATTGTTTCACAATTCAAGTATGGATAATGATGCATTCTGAATATATGAAGCCAAAGAGCTTTTCTCATTTATCTTTCTTAAATCAGACCCAGAAGATAAACAAGAAAAAGAAAAAAAACCAACCACTCTTAATAAAGTGGACACCAAGTATTCTGCAACTCTGCAACAAAGAGGACTTTGTCCAAGATTTTTACATGTAACTGTTAATTTTATATGATTTTATATGATGAACTTGCCTCATCTTGGATTCCCAGGAATCCACCCACTGTAGGAGAAGATCAGGCTCAAGAACCTGAAAGGTGCACATGGGACCTGATGAGGTACATCCATGGATCCTGAGAGAACCAGCAGACGAAGTGGCTAAGCCACTATTCATCATATTCCTGGAAGAAAGAAAATGTCACTCCTATCTTCAAGAAAGACAAGAAAGAGGATCCAGGGAACTACAGGCCAGTCTACCTCCCCTCCATCCATGGGGAAGTGAGGGAGCCAATAATCTTGGAAAACATTTCTAGACATACAAAGGATAAGGTGACTAGAAGTAGCTGGTGTGGATTTATGAAGAAGTCATGTTTGACCAATCTGATGATGAGATACCTGGCTTGGGGGATGAGATGAGAGCTGTAGGCAAATGATCTCCAGAAGTTCCTCCTGTCTCAACAGTCCTGTGAATCTGTGATAGGACAGGAGAATGGTCTTACAAACTTCACAGTACTCCTTCAACGTAATTTTCTTTATCCAGCAAGTCTACTGTTTTCACTGTGATATGTGTTTTGCTTTGTTAAATTCTTACTTTTATTAATTAAACTATTATCACCATTTATTAGATTAGTGATAGCAGGAGTATGCCTGGAAGACAACAGTTGGAAAGGATTCCCCAGATATCAGTGGTTATTTGGATTTGGATCATACTTTTAGTGTGCTGGGTATAAGGCCTGTAATACTCCAGAAGTGAAGCTTATATGTGAGCCTCAGCCCAGCAATTGCTGCTGGGATTGTGATGGACCACTTTTTCATCTTGTTCATCATTGTTTAGATGTGTCTTGAAAGTGATACCTTTCCTTCATGGTGACAGAGTCAAGCCTGATACAGGGTGAGCAAACAGCTCTGTTTGCATCCAGAAGTGAGTCATCATTGGTCTCCAGCTGCTTATTCTCTCTGCTATGAGAGCTGTTTCTCTCACCTGATTCAGGCAAAACAAGCTGCAGTTGTCAAACCCAATGGTTCAAGCACTCCCAGGTTATGATGAGATGGAGCCTTCAGATGACCTGTTCTACTGGCAGGTCAGAGGCGCTGGAGCCTTTGACTAGAAGTGATGATAAGCAGCGAGGGATAGGTTGAGGAGCAGTGATGTCTCCCAACACCCCTAAACAGAATATATTCAGACCTGCAGTGCAAATTCCTCCTATATTCTTTGTAACTTTTTCCACCAAAATAGAATTTAATCTCTACACAAGAGGCAGAAGCTTATAAAGATCCTCCCTCAATAAGGTAGGCAAATGGAAAATTGCAGTCAAAATGATGACTGCAAAGTTAAGATTTCAGTATTTTAAGTTCTATATCAGTTCCTTCTGACCTTCAGTAGGAAGACTGGAACGCACAAAGCGCTTGCCAGTGTTCTGATTTAAACAGGCGATTTAGGTTGAAGAAAATATGAGCTGGTAAATTGCTCTTCTCTTTTGTTACTTTTTTCCAAGGACTAGTATTAGAACTGGTACTTCCTGGACTGAACCACAATGCTGTGTTAACAGCTGCAAAATTACTGGAAACAACTTTGGAAATAACCCATATATGCCAATTTGCTGTAGCTGTGCTTTTCTCCTGAGGAGAAAACCTTAATCTCTGGAAACTGTTTTCATTTAACACAGCACAGACAAGGTTCCAGCTGCTGTGACTGGGAAGGAAAACCTCAAAAATGAGAAATTAGGGTAAGCAAGGCAGATATGAACCTGCAGACAGCCTGGGACCCTGACATGTGAAGTGATCCATTCACCTCACTGAGATACTCATTCATCATGTTCCTGGTGCTAATACTGAAAACTCAGTGTTAATCATTGTGATGTTTCTGTAAGAGAGGAAGAGGATAATGCCAGATATCCGCATTTCAATACCAGACACATCTTTTTTTGGTGTCTTGAGTAAGTAACCTCTAGGAAGAGCCATGATGTATTACCCTGCTGTGCCTCTTTCAGGGTCAGGAAGAGACAGAGCACAAGAAGCCTGAGGTGCACCTTGATATTCAAGAAGAGCAGATCTATTGGTCACAGCTGGGTTTTCATAGGATGTTATGGTTGAGTCTGTCTTATAACCCCTCTGTCTCCACCTTTCTGGGCAGAACTGCCCCTCTCAGATCAGCTAGTCAGTAGATCAGCTTAACTATAATATCAAATCACAAAAGAGAGATCTGAGCAGCCTAAAACATAACATGATAATATTTTTGTCAGGTGAACTGTCTGCTGCAAATGATGCTTCACATTGGCACCCTCAGCTGGAAGCCAGGGGTAGGAATGATACACAGTGTTTGAACACACCAAATATTGAAGCCTTTGAAATCATAAAATCATAGAATAGTTAGGGTTGGAAAGGACCTTAAGATCATCAAGTTCCAACCCCCCTGCCATGGGCAGGGACACCTTGCACTAAACCATGTCACCCAAAACTCCATCCCACCTGGCCTTGAACACTGAGATGGTCTTGATAAGCCCCTGGCCAGCAGCTTGGACTGTAGAATCACAGAATGGTTGAGGTTGTATGGGACCTCTCTAGGTCATCTGATCCAACCACTCCTATCCAAGCAGAGCCTCCATGCTTTATCAGCTTGTCTATGAGAATCTTTCATGAGAGAGTGTCAAATGCCTTACTGAAGTCTACGCTGACAGCGTACACTGCTCTCACCCATCAAGCCAGCTGTTTCATTATAGAAGTTTCTTAAGTTGGTCAACCATGCCTTCCCCTTGATGAAACCATGCTGACTACATCTGATGACTTTCTTGTCCTCCATGTGCTTGGAGACAGTGTACAGAATTGTCTGCCTCAAGGTTGGAGGTGTGGCTGGGTCCTCCTTCTTGCACAGGTAAATAGTTGCTCAGATTTGTAGATACTCAACTTCAGCCATTTTTAGTCTTATAAATGAAGCCTGAAATGGCAATATTTTTAACTGTTTTCACTGAGAACAGAAAGCACTAAGCCATGTCCACCAAACCAGTCTGTGAAGTGTCTCTAGCATCTCCCCAGAACATCAGGGAGCTAAGAAGTACATGCATTCAGTACTCTGTTACCTGGTGAAGCTTGCAGTACAAACAGAGCATGGGAAGTGGAAGCACAGAGCAGTGAAGTGTTTTCCACAAAGTCATGTTAGAGGGTCAGTGGGAAAGTTGCAGAAGGAGCTCAGTGACTGAAAACACTTTGTCACTAAACAAGGATTTTATCAGTGGTTTGGTTTTTTTTTTTCCCTGTGTGGTACAAAGGCACTAATGATGAAGGAATTGGCTCAAAACCACTTTTTCAGCTGTGGGAGACCAGTCCTCTAATTGTGCTTGTAGTGCTGTTGGCAGGTACTGTGCTGTGCCCTGTGTCTCTTGCCTAATTCTCAATTAGCCCAAACTAAAAGAATAGGAGAGAGCTTAAGAGTTACAAGGGGGATTAGAAAAAAATATCCTTATTGTGGGTGTAGGAAATATTGGAAGTGAAACTTCCTTGGGAGAGACCGCTGTTAAAGATTCGATGTTGGAAGGACTTCCATATTCCATACACCACAAGAGGTCTGTTCAGTGGGTGCGAGGTTCTTATGTCAGCTTCAGTTCAGAGCATCAGCTGCCACACCTGGGACATTCCTGGGCTTTTTCTTAACAGCTCCTGCAAGCTGAGCTTGACTGATAGCACCATTAGGAGTGGAGGGCCCAAGAGACCAAAACCTGCTTGCAAACTTTTGCATTCACATATAAAAGTGGAAGAGAACGCTTGGTCTCTCAATGCTTTTCCCCCAAACAGAGTTATTCCCAGCTATTTCACCACATCTTCTCACATTTTTTCTCTAACAAACAGACCTCTTTCTGATGGCAAATTGGTCTTTTCTGCCCTTCAGACAGAGCATTTATCATAGATGTTATTACCATGTCTCCTGGAGTCTTTCCATCTGAAGACATGCTTGTTACAAACACTGTCACAGGCTACAAAATGTAATCTGAGAGAAAGATTGACATTTTCTTTTATATACCATTCTTTGCAGGCAGGTTTTTTTCTCCACATGTTCCTTAGCTTTCTTACTAGTTCAGATCACCCATGTCTCAAGACTGGTGCTGGCTCCTGGCACCAGCCAGTTGCTTCCCTGTCAGAGGACCCTGGGAGCTTCTTCCTCCTGCCCTAGGCTATTGTGCAATTAGGCAATTATGCAGTTCCAAGCAGGCCGGAGGATCTGAGCCTGGGCAGAGCAGGGTGCTGTTGATGGTGGATAAGCAATTGGTATTGAAATGGCAGATTGAAAGCAAGAGGCGAACTTCTTTCTCTCCTGCTGTCTTGTTTTCTTTTAGTTCTTTTAGTTTGCTATGAAGCAAATCAAGAGAGGGAGTAGCAGAGAATCATCTGAACAAACAGAGCCCAATATTTGATTTGGATGATAACAGTGAAAATGCCTTATCTTGCTTTAGCGGCCAAGTGACCAACCCCTACTGCTCAGCCTTCTGTGCACTACAGGCTGGCCACAATATGCTGGTGTGCTCAAAGTCACCAGAAAGGTCTCACCCTTGCAGCTGCCTTTGAGAAGAGCTCCAGCAGGGGAGAGGATGAGTGTGTGCACGTTTGCCTGCAAGGAAAGGAATTAGCCTTGAAGGAGCACTCCTGCAGTGAACGGGGGAGTTTCTGTTTCTGGCATAAAGTTTGAATTCTTCGCCAAAGCTTGTCACCACCATCCAAAGCACTGGTCTGCTCTCCCTCCCATGCTGGTGTTTGGCTCCTGCCTTTTTTCCTCAGCTGCTGAGAAGCTCCCCTTGACTTTGGCAAAGAAAAGGAGGCCCTGGCCTGGGGCTCAGCAGCCTCCTGAGCTGGAAGGAAAGATGCTCGGGTGTCCAGGGTGCATTGAACCAGTCTCCCCTGCTGCTACATGACCTACTGCAGGGCTTCTTGGCTCCCATGGGGATATGGACACCTCCTTGGATGTTTAAACACTGCATGCTGCACTGGCAAGGGCTGCCATCTGATTAACTGCTCTCAGCAGTGCCTGTCCAAGAGGTGCAGGCTCTGCCTGGGAGAGCAATAGATGCACTCAGGGGAGCAAAGGCTGAAGTTGCTGCTCAGCCCTTGGAGGCAGGAGTCTGGTGGATTAGGGAGCCAGTTTGTGCTCTGCAAAGAAGAAGGAACTACTTTTAGTGTTTAAAATGTACTTAACCTAAGAAGCAGATGTAGACTGTTCTGAATTATCCTGAGATTTGGGATGAGTTCTGGGTGGGTTTTTTTTATTTAAAGTAGGAGCTACCATAAGGTAGGGTGAGTTACAGTGTATGTACACTTTCTTTCTTTATAAAGGAATATATATGGCCTTAGAAAATGAATATATTTTGTATTAGTTAATTAGGTAGTATTCTTCCCTTTGATGTATGTTTTCTTAACCTTTAACCCTGCCATATTAAGGTACTGAGGTTAGCTATTTCAAAATGTACATATGCACATATATGCATGCATAGATATGGATATATGCTGTCTCCTTTTTTACTTTCCTCATTTGATGATGTTACAGTTACTCTGAATGAAATCCTTTAGGAGACATTCCAGGAGAAATGAAGATGTTTCAATCAAACCAAAAAGCAAATGCAAAGGACATTTTGAGCAGAGTGGAGTTGTCATGTAGAAACAATTATTTTCCTTCCTACACGTCTCTCGGAAAAACTGATGTATGCTCTTCTCCATTCAAAGATTAAATTTTGAAGCAACTATTTTGAAGTTGCATGTTGTTAGGGGGTTTTGTTTGTTTGTTTGGGGTTTTGTTACATTTTATTTTGGCTTTTTTTGTTTGTTTGTTTGTTTTTTTTTTATGGGGAAGATGTATTCCTCACAGAAAATTTTCAGAGGAGCAATCAATATACAAAATGAATTGTCTGTTGTTGGATCTGAGCTGCATATCTGTACACAGGGTGTTTTTGTACTCTAGGGTACTCTGACAAGCATCGTGGCTGAATCATAATAAACAATTGATCCCCTTATCAAAAAACCACATATACCCACAAATATTTCACTCCATTGTCAGCGTCTTTGACAACATAACATTTAAATACCTGAAGCAATTTATAAAGTATTTATAATACAGAATCCATAGCCAGACTACTAGAATTTAAATATCTAAGCCATTTAAGAGATGGACAAAACCAGGTACAGATTGCATAAATGCTCCATTATCTTTGCTTTCTTTGCATTCAGGAAAAATTAATAAAAACATCCCCTGCTATCTGCTATATCCCCACCTATAAGGTACGCTTGCAAATGCTTTCAATGGGCACATTGTTACCAGGGATTAAATTTTCATATATGCATGCCTATCTCTTCTCTCCTCCCCAGACTGCATTCTTGCTCCTGCTTAGGTAACAGGTCTGCCCAGCTGGTGGAGGACTTACTTCTCGGATGCTCACCCTTGTGAGGATGGGTATGGTAGAACTGGAGGGCACTGTCTTTATTTGCACCCAGTGAAGGCTGCTGGAGGTCATCACTTCCACCAAAAAGCTAGGCTGGAGCTCATCTGCCTGCCCAGAGCAAATGGGAAATACTGGGGACCCTGGTGGGTTCCTGCTGTTCCCTTTGCAAGAGCTTGCTGCGCAGTTACACTCCTACCCCCTCTATATTGTTAATCAAATAACTATACTACCTCCTAACAGTTGGTGTTGAATCCTGCTGAATAATTTTCCCAAGATACACAAGGAAAAGGTTTCTGTCATGATGAAAAGCTCAGTTCCTTAAACCATCCTCAATTATATCAGCTTGCTGGCCAGGAATGCGTATTTCTGTGCTGCAAACTCCACTCATCTTTACAGCTCTGTCTTGACATGGGAACCTCTTAATTTTGATCTTGTTAAAAGAGTTGACTTACTCAGTTCAGAGATGCAGAATAGGCACACCTGTGATGCGTAAGGGTACAAACACTTGCTGCTTGTTGTGTTTCTAAATCTTACCTAGGCATAAGCTTTTTGCTTAAATGTGAAATTTCACATTTCAGAGCACAGTCTTTTGTAAACCAGAGGGAACTGAAACTGTTAGACTTGCAATATGGAAGCTGTTAAATCTACAGGGAATGTATGTCTCTCGTTTGCATTCCCAGATTTAGAGATAGTTGTCAAAAGGGAACTGGATTGAATCAAAGAGGATGGTAGCAGTGCCTAGCGATCCCCACAGTGAAAAGCTCTGCACCAACACTTGTTAATTGAAAGTCCTTAGAGACACAGTTTAAACAAAGACAGAGAGAAATGAAATACCTTCCCTGAGATGTTAACAAACTGTGATGGCAGAGCCAGGCTTTAATCCCATCCTTTGTGATTTCTAGTCCGGTGTCCTACGATGTGTCACACTGCCCCCTAACACTTGTGGAATGCACTTCTTTCTGTATCTCCCTCTTGTCTACACAGACATACCCACATACGACACTGTATAGCTGGATAATTCTCTGAACACTTACTAGTTTATCGTACATACCACATTCCAAACAATGTGAATATTTTAAATACTTAATTTTAAATGCTACCTGTGTATTTTTCTCCTTTAGAAATATCCAGAATGTTGCACTTCTCCTTCCCATTTTGGAAAGGAGTCCTTTCTTGCACAGAAAGAGGCAGTGATACTGAAATATCCACAAAGAGAGTTTGTCCCTGAACTGTTCTTGCAGGCATTTGTGCTGAAGAGATGTTAACACAAGCCACATTTTACGTGAAATATATTCCCATTGCTCAGGGTTCTTCTGCTTAATGCTGTCAGTGCTGCAGCTTCCCACATTTCCCAGCTCTCCAAGGAACCCTACAGCAGAAATAAGGAATCCAGGACTTAGGACTTAATATTTAGGCATATATATATATATATATATATATATATATATAAAAGAGCAAAAGAAATAACACTTTAAGGTTTTCTTGCAGCACAGGAGGGGGGAAATGGTAAAGATTAGCTTTGGGATCACTTTAATTCAACTTTTTAAGTCCTGTGTAGCTACAGCAGTTTTTCCTTGTGGCAAGGACCCAAGTAGGTGGGTGCTGATCCCCACCACTGTGTTATCCTCAGTGCAAACTCGTGCAGCCCCTCACTAGGGTATGAGCCATCACCCCAAAATAGGCAGGGGGCCTTTCTCATTGCACCCTGGCAGCAAGGAGGTCCCCTCCCAGGGATGGGGGTGTCCCCTGGCCTTGGGCCAGGACAGGCTTCACTCACAAAGTGCTTCCAAGGTGAACCACCAGTGTTATGTAAAAGATTTTTATTGCTGTGGGTACAGGCAGAGATTAACTACTTGAGCTGGCAAGGGAACTGATGTGTAACATCCTTCTCCATCTCTGATCTCAGATCAAAAGCTTCAGCCTTGCCTGCCACACCCTGTTGCTGTAAGGAGCTGTGCCAGGAGGGCAATGCCAGGGGTGCCCAGATATCATGGCCACCACAGTGGCCCCAGGTCTCGTGGGCCACACAGGCGCTGCTTACTGTTGCTAACACGTGCCGTGGGTCTTGATGCTGTGGGAGTGCAGAGAGGAGGAGGACATCCTGGAGAGGAGGCGGGAAAGTGAGGGACAAGGACACAAAATGCCATCACAGGATGTGCTTTTGCACAGATGTTAAAAAGCAGGAGCATCTCTACTAATTGCAGCAAACTTGGCAGAAATTAAGCCTAATAGGCCTCCTTCATACAACTGTGTGGCTAAACACCAGATGCCCTAAAGGCACAAACTGACAAGGATGTGTAAATCTTTAGTATAGTGTCTGTGATCCTTCTGACAGAGAGAGGATGTTGCAGGGCAGGCCCCTGAGCAGCCATCCTCCTGAGGGGCAGAAGCTGGTGGGGTAGGGGTGGGGGTGTTGGGGCTGCATGTTAAAATACGCAACACCAAAATAGAGTTTTATGACATTTATGAGTGCATTTTCATAAAAACATCATTTTTCTGGAGAAGTGCCAAAGCTCCAAATACTTTCTTTCTATTTTGCTCCTCTAGCACAGCCCTTCTGTCCACTGGATGCTTTACGAATGGTCTCTCTTTGTGTGTCATGGGAGGAGAGAGTTACTCTGGATTTATCCAGGAGTGTTGTAAACCACATGGCCCTTCTCATTTCAGCCTTATCTTTGAAATGCCTCAAGAGACATCTTATTTTTATGACTGCTCGAGGACTGTAAGCCCAAGGAACTGCTTTTGGGAATGCATATGATCCCTGTCACATCAAATGACTACATTGTGATGTCAGTGCTGTCTGTGAAACATAAAGTAGCTGCTGGGTCCCAGCTCTCCATCTGCAGTTCCCCAAAATCGAGGATTTTGAATCTGAAATTTCCATGTTGGAACTGTCAGTAATTCAGAACTGTTTATTAAAAGGACTAATTCATGATAATTGTTCTGAGGTCAGGAAAACATACAGAAATTGCTCTTGAGAAATTTTTATCTGCATTTGTGGTGGGCTTGTTTGCCTTAGGGAGCATTGCGGTACTGTGCCAATGATTCTTCTCGCTCCAAAGCACAATAAAACTTTATAATTTTAAATAATTGGCACAATACCTTTTTAGATTATGTCAGAAATACCAAGTATCAGTTTCAATAAAGTTGCACCATTTTGTTTTGATGTTTAAATTTATTGCTAGCATGAGAACAGGAATCTGCAGTATAGCTGCAGGTCAAGAGCAAGAAATTAACATTGTTGAAATGAAAGTTTTAGGGTTTTTCTCCCTGCTTTAAAATGCCACAAAACAGAGGTTTGAGATTTTTAAAGGTGCAATTTTCTGATAGACAAATTCCATGGAAAGATGTGTGACTAACATTAATTATCAGGACAAATCTGGGGAACTTGAAGATAGTCAGAATAAGGAATCAAGCAAGTTTGTACTAGCAGTACTTTGACATGAGTTACTGCACATGTGAGTAGAAAGTTTGAGGGCTTGTGCAAACAACTCTGTCTGTTAGAAGATAAAGTCAGAGGGTGTTTCTCTAGACTGGTTTTGTGACGCTGATGTCTGATTCAGCCTCCTTGACCCCCTAGTGGACTTGAATTGGGTGAAACACATCACTAAGCATCAGAGGAGGAAATAAGTACTTTTCGTATAGACATATTCCTCTTTGGCGGTGGTCACTGACAGGCTTTTGAATTTGTTCTGGCTCTTCTCAATAAACAAATAGCTCACAAAAATGGTATCACAATGACAGCAGATAACTGGTTGATCTCATCTTCCAAACTACCTCAACTGTTTCTCAGTCTGAGCTTGGTTACTCATTTTAGACATTCATTTACTTCTTTTACACAGACTAGATGATGCTGACATTTGTCACCAGCAACCTTGACATCAGGAATGCCTGCTCTTGTGGCTGTGAGTCTAAATGTTAGAAGTTAATTAAATATGTCTGTAATGATTGCTTTTCTTATGCTGTTATCCAGAATTTTGGTCCCAAGTTGAAAGAGACATAATATAGAAAAAGCGAGTGGCCTGGGAGGGATGACTTCACAGGAATACTTATTTTCTGGAATATGAAAACAATTTGGTAATGTGGGAGAAGCAGTAGGCTGGATGACTGGGTCTTCTGTATTAATGACTAAGTGTGTATCACACCAAAGATCATTCATTTCATGTAGCCCACAAATATGCAAGCCTAAGTCTGCCTGATGGTGACCATTGGCAACACTTCTTGTTTTGTCTCCATCATCTGGGCTTATGGGAGGCCTCAGTTCTATGATTCTGTTTGCCGATGTAATTATTTCACAGTTAATGGCCATGATTCCCCAGAGGCTGAAGGAATTGCAGTAGATGAGAGAAATGACTTCTACAACAA